TACGTATAAAATTAAACTTAAACGATTTCAAAAATTTTAGTTGGATCTTTTTAAAATTATTTTTAATATTTTTTTAACGTCTTTGATGCGTCGCGTTGGCGAACCCCGGGGCATCGCCCGGGTCGAACCGCTAGTTATTTTTATATATTAGAATAGCTTTTTAGCTTAATCTAAAAATTCAAATCAGATCATTATATTCTATCATTAATATGAATTTTAAATATTTAATTTATAAAAAAAAATATTATTATTTTTGACTGATATTTTTTTTTTAATATCTATTCTTATAATTAACACAAAATTTTGAATTAAATATATTATGCTAATATTAAAAACAAATCATAAAGATATTTAAGTATTAATTATTTAATAACATTGATTTAGAAAATAAAAATACCAATATTCTTATTTTTATTATAAAATTAAATTTTTTATTAACAAAAAAATATACAAATATCATTCTCTTATCCTTTATACTTTACCTTGCCTTATAAATCTTTACTATTTTCCTTCACACCGTCATTAATATTTGGCGGATTAACAATATTCTTTTCTTTCAACATGCTTGAAGTGCTTCTGTTGCTTCCTAAAGAATACAACAGAGTACCAGAAAATACTAAAACACCACCAATAACCATTCCAATATGAAACTCATTATCAAAGTACCAAACCGAGATCACTAATGAAGTGAATTTACGTAAGTTCAATACCAAATTTAAAGTTAATGCTGTTGCTATTGAATTTAATCTATGTACACCTGAAACACAAACATATCTTCATAAAGTGAATTTTAAAAGTTAGCGATCTATTTAATAAACCCAATATAGTAAAATACTTATGAATTCAATATAACTTACTGAGTTAGTACGTTCATAATAAGATATGTCCAAGTCCTTGGAAGAACACAACCTTTTAATACTTGACTAATACTATTTGGTATATAAATATTCGCAGGTAGCATGAAAAGTGCTTTTTCAAGGGATATTGGTTTGGATTGATTGAATCCTTGAACTTGCTCTTTCATGTCTGAATAAAATATCAAGAAAAGTGGAAGCGCTAGAAAATGCTTTAAAATAAAATAAATAATATTAACATTTCTTAATAAATTTCTAATTTTATCTTCCCTTAAGTTAATGGAGATAACTTACGGTGTAAAATAAACCTTCTCGCCAATTACTTCCATATTTTACATAAGTGAATTCTTGATAAAGACCCATAAAACAGGATAGTATTAAAGCAATAGAGAGAAGGCTGATACCGAACACATAATCCGACGTACTCCTGGCGTTATTTATATCCTCCTAATTAAGAATAATTATTTTTCAGGGACGAAATGTTTTTTTGTTTTGTTTTGTTTTCTTTTTGTATTCAGATTAATCAACTTAGTGAATTGTAAAAGATGTTCGTTAAGTTTGTTGTGCCTTTATGTACCTTTTGGTTTAGGTTGGCTGAACTTATCGTTGCACAGGCAACTCCTAACGTGACCATCACTACTGATATTACTTGCTTCAATGAATACCTAAAGATATATAATTATACATATAATTATTTTTTAAAAAAAAAAAAATTTGTTAAAAACAATTCATATTTTTACCTTTTTTTAGCTACAGCCCAACCTAATATCATACTAACAATTAACCCTCCACTACGAAATATAATGTGCAAGGGGACAGAAATTCTATATCCTAACGCAATGTTATTTAACACCGATACGGTAAAAAAGAGAATTACCATAACAAACCATCTGCGTGCTGGTACAGTACGTTTTTTTAAATGTGGAATCGGTGATGATGGGGAAAATTCAAGATGATGAAATAATCCTTCACATGATATGAATAAAAATTGTGCAAATGTGAATAAATTCCCTAATAATAATAATAATAATGTTATATTATATGAAATTTTAATCAAGAATCAATAATACTGTTTTAATATTATTGTACTTGCCACTCATTGGAGCCACACTACATACATATATCGGAAATGGGTGAACAAAAAAAAAAAATTTAAAATTAAAATTGATGAATAAAATAAAGTTTAATAAACTTACCCAACTAATAACTCCAAAGCAACAACATTACTGCAACATCCACCAAAAAGTAAACTTCCGATCACTATCCAATTTGTAAACGACGAATGGTATACTGTATCACGCCATTTTATTGACATCTTTTCTATTGTTATTTTTAATTAGAATGAGAAAATATTTTTTGTATTGAAATAAATTCAATTGTTTTTTTTCTTATCATTAAAATAATCACAAAGAAAGAAAATCATCAATCAAAAAATTGAGTTGAAAATCAGCAGTTAATACCAAAATATCGGAAACATATTTAAACTTTAAATAGAGATTTTTTCTGATTGGCTGTTTTTCTAATTGAATGGCTTATCCAAAAATAAATGAACCACGTTTGAACCTCCCGCAGTTCCCCGTTTTTTTTCTTGCATCATATATATTTTTCAGGAGTTTTAAATGTAAATTAGTTATAGCCGAAAGTGAAGTCTGCACAGAACTTAACAGTTGTACAAATAAAACTTTGAATGGAAGTAGAAAAAATATTGTTATGCGTGTAGATTATGACACAATATTATACATCAAATATATTGTTATCATTCTATCACGGGATTTAGTTATCACAACCTCCCTATTATAAATATGTTCATCATCTTTTTGTTGGACTTTTTGATATGTTATATAGACCGTGCGTTTTTGCAGACGTCAAATTTTCACTCTCTTTCTAATAATATAAAAATATAAAATAAAAAAAAAAAAACACCAGAAATTTATTTTTTTTTATTCAGAACCTCCAAGTTTTTCAAACAAGTTCTTGTGGAAAAAAGATTTTGTTAACCTACTTTCACAGTATAGATTGAATTTGTAAGTAATGTCCATTCGTTCAGCCACAAAATTGTCCCGGTTGTACTTACATTTTTCTTTTCAACTCGTTAGGAGACAAAGAATATTCGTCATTGCGAACTCCTTTAGGTAAGTAATATAATCGTAAAGATATTTAAGCAAATATTTTTTTTATATCTTTTTAACAAATTTTTTTTTCTTATACATATATAGATCCACGGAACTTTGTTAACGAACCAATCTGGATTTGGTTTCTAGAAATTTGGTTTTTTGTGGATTGATTCTTACAAACTTACAACCTTGTTAAATACGTACCATTATAAATATGAGTTTTTTGACAAATCCAACTGGGTTCTCAGCTTTACCCGCCGATTGTCTTCGCGAAATCTTCCAATATTTCGTAAATGATATGACATCACTTTACTGTTGCATGTTTGTGAATCGTACTTGGTGCAGGATTATTATTCCATTACTTTGGCGTCGTCCTTTTGAGTATTCCGAATCAAAGTCAAAAAAATATTATGAATTGATTCGTACATATATAGGTTGTCTTACTAATAGTGCAAGGACGAGAATACGCGATGTTGGATACTATCTACCTTCATATCCAGGCCCTTTATTCCCTTACCATGAATATTTGAAGGAATTGGATTGTGAAAAATTGGACGTGGCTGTTGAAGAATGGATTGGGGGAACTGAGTTTGATCAATTTCTCGAAGACCCGGATGATGTGATATATACGGAGTTACTAAAATTACTTATGAGTCAGCGTCAGAGTTTATGGAGATTAAGATTGGGTCAATATAAGAAGGATTATAATCTTCCTCCAATAGCAACATTCCCTTGTATCAAATATACTCTCGCCAACCTTCGTAGATTCGAATTTCGGGGCGATATTGATTGTTTATCTGAAACGGGATTAGATAACCTTTACGACTTTTTAATAAAATTATCTAATATCTCGAATGGTATAGAGAAGATTTATATTGATATGACAGAAGATGAATATGGACTTTCAGTAGGAGGTTTACAGCAATTAATCTCTCGTCAAAAAAATCTATTATCTTTCCATTATAACCAAGAGATGTCAAATATTCAAAATTCCAAATCATTTATCGAGGCTTTATCGTATAATGCAAACACTCTAAGGAATGTTGTATTCAACAGTATACCACTTAATGAACAATGTTTAGGTGCATTAAAGAAATTTCATAATTTGGAATCCATGCAGTTCGTTTATTGTTATGAGAAAGATATCTTTAGCGAAACCGATAAGATTTTAGAAGATATTCCTTCTCAATTAAACGTTGAAAAGTTAATGTTTCACAGAGGAGATCTCTCCTCGGTAACGCTGGAAGTTCTTCGCTATGCAAATGCTAATGTAAGGGAATTAACGGTGGATAATATTGTTCCTGATTTATTTGAAGTAATCTCAGAACATTGTCCAAATATTGTATACTTGGCTGCGGCTATATCACAAAAGACTTTTGAATCACTTGCATGTATATCAACAAGTAAAATTGAACATTTAATATTAAAAACTTTAGATACTAAAGATATTGAAACAAAAGACTTTCAACAATTAGGAAAAAGTCTTTCACTTTCTTTACATCATCTTTCACTTAATTTTAATATAAGTGTTGAGGAATTATCATCCTTGTTGAAAGAATGTCAATCACCTTTAAAAAGTTTATGTTTGAAGTTTAATGTCATAACAAATGATGATATGAATGAATATCTTAGAGTTGTAATGGAATTTGCTAAAAAGAATGATTCTTTGAAGGAATTCAAATTTTTATTGTACGATAAAAATGATTCATTTGATGTTAAAGACATTTTTACAAAGGATATCATTGAGGAAGCGCAGCTAATTATACCTAATATCTCACAAGAAACTCATACACCCTTTACATATTCCGAAGGTTAGTATACAAAGTGAAAACTTTATTTATTCAAAGATTATATTATTTTAAAGATGGCTAATTTACTCTTTTTTTTTCTTGTTTAGCATCTTCATTATCAAAATTTAAATATTAATTTAATTTATTCGAAATTTTGTTAATAATAATAATAATATTTTTATATTAATACTAATAGATGAAAGTTACGGGATCAACCATCCGTATACATATGTTGTAGATATTTTATAGAAAAATCATTTAAATAATTGTATGTATTTTTGTATGTATGGATGGGTAATTAAAACCGTAAATATCGTCGTTTCTCCTAAATACCATAATAATAAATAAATAAATAAATAATATATATATATATATATATATTCGAAAGTTCATATCTTTTTCGCACCTGTAATGTTATATGATTTACAAATGCGATCCTATTAAAAAAAGGAATATCAAATCTAAATTAAATTTTTGTTCCGTTATATTTAATTTATTTTTTCAAGTTTACCACGAAATTCATTAGGTAATAAAGGAAAATTTCTAGTATAGACGCCTTTCCCATCAGGACTCCAAACATCAAATATAACAGATTCACCATCTCTAACTCCACCTATACTACACCACCCAATACCACCCCATACAACATCTAAAACGCAAATGCTTTTTTTCGGATGACAATCCCCTATCACCTTCAAGTCCTTTTTAACTTTGATTATTCTAGGGAATTGTTTAAGACGATCTATTGATCCTATCGGAGGCTCTAAGAAATGATTTTCATCAAAAGATGATAATTGTTCGTAAAATTCGTTTGCTTTCTCAATTGATGTGATATGTGTAATTAATTTTGTAAATACTGTTATACGAATTGGTTTGTTACCCTCCTTATAATCTATTCTACCTAATCCTCCAAATAATAAAGATTTTCCTAAGTAAAAGATTTTTTTTTTTCATCAAGTTAGACTCGAAAATAAGACAAATGAAAAAAATATATTAATTAATATATCGTTGACTTATTTATATTCGATTTACCTGGCTTAAATTCGTATGTTAATGGAAGAATATTTCGCTGGGGAATGACCATTTTTAATTCATCTTGATTTAAGTAATGTAATATTTGATTTTCACCAACAATCCCAGGAGTATCAAACAAAAATGTACCATCCTCTTTACGATTAAAGATCATTCCCTTAACATTCTTACCAAGGGCATCATTAAAAAGGTCCAAAGGTAAACCCAACATGTTAATGGTAGTACCAGGTATATGAGAAGAGGTCACTTTATAATTTCCCCCATGATAAACACAAGTTCTTAAAAGGCTATTGATCAATTCGGATTTACCAACATTGGTGTTACCAATTAAATAAATATCATCTTTATAATTCCTAATCCTTGATATTTCATTACATAATTCTTTGATATTCCAATTTTTTTTTGCACTACATAAAAAAATCTCGTGTAAATTATTTAATCCATACATTGAACAATATTCTTTTAACCACATTTTAATTCTATTAGGATTAATATCTTTTGGTAATAAATCAATCTTATTCGCTATTAAGATATTCGGATGATGTCGACCTATCAATTGATCTAAATCTTTTGTCAAACTACCAGGAAAGTCAAATATATCGATTACCGTTAAGATTATTGAATTTTTCTTTTTTTGTAAAAATTGAAGGAATGATTTATCAGACGTTAAAGTTTCTTGCCATGATGAAGTGATAATTTTATTATGATATTTTAAATTATAACACCTTTGACAAAATATCTTTTCTTCTTTATCATTTTCTTTTCGTGTAAATTTTGAATACCCAAGGGGATACATTAATCCCTTCAAATCTTGTGGTAAATTATCTATCGCGTCCTCAATTTCACGTTCAGTTAACTTTTTAACGTGACGTTTCTCTTCAACTTGTTCACACTTTGAGTGAGAAGGTTTGATCAAATAACCAGGTTTGGTCGAATCTAACGTTTGAAAACTTGCTCCACATCCTGGGCAATGATCCTTATTCCCAATTATTGATGATATCGGTAACTTTTCTGGTTTTATTGACACATCGTGAGAAACTCTCGTTGAACTAAAATGTTTTCCCGGGGAATGTCCAAAATAGTAAAATTTGTGTGATGCTAGTATGGGAAAAAATTTCTTTTTAATTAAATGTTTTGTGCGAATCAAACGATTTGGAACCTTCAAATGGTTTTTTATCAAGTTTGATGTAAACATTTTTAAAAAATTTTTTTTTTTTTTTTTTTTGGCGGTAAAAATCAAGGTATCTTAATTCACGTAACACTAAAATCATGATTTGCATCGCACATGGCGCATAAGGGGGAAAGGGAAAATGAAAAATGAAAAATAAATTTTTTTTTTTTAATGTTAATGTTTACAAATAAAAAATTATATTACAGGTACATTTGTGTTCAAAGTTATATATAGAATTTTGATCTTTTTTTTTTTTTCTCTTACATTCAAACAAAACGCTGACTATTTTTTTTCTTAATGTGTTAATAAAAAGAAAAAATAAAATAAAAATAAAATAAAAAAAAAGTTTTTAAAAAGAAAAAAAAATGTAGGAATTTCAAGTCTAGAAAATCTAGAGAGAGTAATAAAAAAAAATTGTTAATGTGAGTGTGGTGGTGATGGTGCACGTGTATAAATGTGTGTATGTATATAGTGTTGAGATTATTCCTTCGATTATACAATTTGACCAAATAACGCCAAACCAATTAAGAAGACGGTCATGGAAACGAGCAAGGTTCCGTAACTTGTAGCGGGAATGCCGAATGAAGGTAAACAATACCCCCAAACGATGAGAAGTAAACCATGAATTAAAGCGGCGGGATAAACCAACAAAGAAATGGAAGCAATCCAACAACTAAAACCAATATGAATCATTATCCAAGAAAATCTCCACATTACACCCCACCAAGCGGAAATTTTGGTCAAAGGTCTTCCCAAAATCTCTTCTATTTCGCTCCTTTCTTCGACATATCTACTTCCATCCATTTCTAACTCGTCTCTATACCACCTAAGTTCTATAAAATTTTGTATTATAAAGTATATTGCTTCACCAGTCGCCCAACCTAAACCTAACCAATATGCCATTAAAAATTTATCTACTTCACCCACAAAATAATACAGCCAACCCATTCTAACAAGTTCTTCGATGAACCCAATAAAAAATAAAGTTAAAATAGAACTCGTAGATACTTTAAAACTTATTAGTTTTGAAAATATAAAAAATGTCGGTTTTCTTATAAGGAATACAGCACACCACCCAGTCGCCCCTAATATTAAAATGTCCCACTTGTAATGTTCAGCTGTACCATCAGCTGTCGTAGGCCAAGCGTATAATAATAAAATAAATGAAATTAACGTTAGAATTATTAAGGGTGTTGTAATCAGGTATTCGTTCATTAAAGTATTATAGTCTCTCTCTTCTTCATCTTCTTCATCATCTGAAAAACTTGGTAATGAAATATATACTCCATGTTGAGTCGCTCTCTCTTCAAAAGGCAACCGGTCAAAGTTTTGTAAATTCGGTGATAACTGCTGACCGGAAGAAATTTCCTCTGAACCTATAGTACCATAACTTGGCGGTCTTGACTTTGTAAAGTTTTCGTCTGACATTATGAAAAATTATTATTTTTTTTTTTTAATTATATTAAAGGGATAAATAAAAAAAATTTCTTCCTTTAAAAATTTTTTACAATAAAGATAAAAAGTCGTAAGATTCACATTTGAAAATCGTTATAAACGATTCTTGTGTTTAATTTATATCAATTTATAAATAAGGGTGGAAATCTAAAATGGATTTTTTTATTTACTCCCAAACCTAAATTCGAGTTACATGCTTTTTGATTATCTTAACTTAATTTGAGAAGTGTTGAAAGCACAATTATGTTTGTTGCATAAATCGATAAATGAGTGTACCTTGGCACGTGATTTATGATGTAATATTCGTAATATAGTTCAATGATTAACTTATCTTATCTCAGAATTACATCTTATCTCCATTTGTTCCCCTCGCACAAAAAAAAATTTGGAACCCTTTTAACTGCCACAAAACCATGTAAAAGAATGGATGGGACAAGTTATTTAAACAAGTTAAATTAATAATTATTTGTTTTTCGCTGGGGAAATAAATTCGAATTTAGAAAATCTCATGAGAGAAAATTCCCAACGAAAATACAGGTTCACTTTCAGGTTGAGGAATGAGGTGATTATCGTGGCGCAACATACTTGAATTGGTTTATGTATAACCATTGATCTCTTTACTTATTTTCTTTTGAAAATCTTCGCTGAGCCTCAAATGAGTACCGCCTCTCTTCCAAAGCCCGTACCCGAATAGAATTCTTACATATTGCTCACACCATTTTGTCGGAATCATTTTTAATTATTTTTTTTTCGAATCCTACATATGAAAAAAGTTTTTTTTGACTTGAAATCCGGAATATGATTTTCCTTTTTTTTTCACAGGGTTGACAGATTTTCAAATGCCTTTTTTAGACAATTTGCACGGATAATAAAAAATACATTAATGAAAAACAATTATAGACTTTAAAAAAGAATATCAATCATTCGATAAAAAATTTTCGTCATTCTTAATCCCAAGTATTTAATAATTGTAATAATAATTTCGTCGTGTCTTAACCCCAAGTATTTAATAATAATAATAATAATAAGATAAAGCAAAAAACTACTGTTATTTTGTTCGACTTCCAATTTAAAATCTTAGATTTCAACGATAAACATTTTAAGGATTAACAAGAAAACCAGGGTAACAAGTAAAGAAGAGGAACCTATTTATATAATGTCCATCTCATCTACAAATGAAACAATGGAATAATGCAATAATTTGACTTTTTTCATATGTATATTTATATTTATATATATCAGGATTTACTTATAGATAAATAATTAGGATTTCACGCTTTAAAACAACTAGAAAAAAACGTAACTTGCTCATTGACGCGTTAATTATCGTGTTTGCTGCGCCTTTCGATAATCTTTTTTCGGTAAATGCCGACTTCATCTCGTTTCAAATCTGGATTTTTTTATAAAAAAGTCAACTTTAATACAATTTTATTTTTTATTTTTTATTTTTTTTAAAAAAAAAAGAGAATAATGTCATATTTAATAAAATCCAATCGAACTTTAAATTTATCTAAAATTCATCATCAAATTCGTAAGTTCAGTTCACAATCCTTAGAAATTCCAGAAGCAAAAAAACATTTAGTACCTGTCAAGGGGACATATCCAAAAGGATTTAAAGCAACAGGAATTCATTGTGGCATAAAAAAAAATGGGAGGAAGGATTTATCGTTAATAATTTCAGAACGACCGTGTACATCCTCAGCAGTATTTACAACAAATATATTTAAAGCAGCACCAGTATTATTATCCAGAGAAATATTAGACAAACATAATGGACAAAATATTTATTCACTAGTAACGAATTCAGGTTGCGCTAATGCGGTAACGGGTACAAAAGGTTTGGCAAATGCGAGAATTATGAGCGATGCTGTTTCAAAATTAAATGGTGTAGAAGAAAGTTCTTTAGTAATGTCAACAGGTGTGATTGGACAGCATATACCTATTGAAAAGATCGTTAACGGTATAAATCAAGCTTATGAATTAGCCAAACAACAAATAACTTCAGATGAGGAATTACATGAAGGATGGATTAAATCCGCGGAATCTTTTATGACCACTGATACCTTTCCAAAATTAAGATCAAAACAATTCACTTTGCCGTCAGGATTAACTTATAGTATGGCAGGGATTTCCAAAGGTGCAGGAATGATTCATCCAAATATGGCCACTTTATTGGCGACTGTTGTAACCGATGTTCCTATATCCGCTAAGGCATTAAATGAAGCATTAAAACATGCTGCGGATAGATCATTTAATGCCATCAGCATAGATAACGATATGAGTACAAATGATACCTTTGCTATATTGGCCAATGGTGCCGCTACGAAAGATGCCGAGAAATTGAAAATCGATGACTTAAATGGAAGAGATTTTATTCGGTTTAGAGATGATCTCACAGAATTTGCTGCCGATTTGGCAAAATTGGTTGTAAGAGATGGTGAAGGTGCTACAAAATTTGTGACTATCCACGTTAAGGTAAATATCTATCGTAATTATTCAAAAGTTTTCAATAATTATTAACTGAATTCTTTTACTTTTAAATTGAATAGGGCGCCAAATCATTTGCGGATGCAAAACAGATAGCATCCACCATTTCCACTTCATCATTAGTAAAAACCGCTTTATACGGGCAAGATGCAAATTGGGGACGTATTTTATGTGCTGTAGGATATGCGGGTGTTTCGTCTATTATTCCCGGTAAGGTTTCAGTTTCATTTGTACCCACGGATGGCACAGCTCCTTTACGTTTACTCACGTTGGGTGAGCCTGAAAATGTTGATGAAGCAAGAGCCAGTGAAATTTTGGCAATGGAAGAACTGGAAATCAGTGTGGATTTGGACATTGGTAATCAAGAAGCTAAAATGTGGACTTGTGATTATAGTCATGAATACATTTCGATCAATGCTGATTATAGAACATAAACATAATTTTCATCATAAAATTTCCTTTTTATTTTTATTTATTTAATTAATTAAGAATTACTATACTTCATACAGAAAAAATATTTTTATCCATACAGCAGTATATTCATTGCATCATTTTTGGGACTAATTGAAGATCATTCCTTTTAATAATAATAAAATTTCAATGCCCGTAAAAAAGCTTTTTGACATGAAACTATTTTTATACATAGATTGAGCAATGCGATGTTAAAAATATTTCTGCAGGTAAAATTTCTTGTTAAAAAAAAGAGATTAAAATAGCAGGCATGATAAAGCCGTTAAAAGATTATATGGCAGTACTAACTCTATTGGGGATGGTTGAAATCAAAATGTATTGTTTGATAATTTTTTTGTGAAACAATCTCATCTAATCTATTGATAGATATATCGTATCACTAATTTATAATTGGTCGAAATTATGCATAATCTTCTTACAAAATGAGAACAAAAAGGGGAGAAAATTTGCTTAAAAAATTATTTCCATTCATTCCAGTTCGTTTTAACACATACATAACAACATTGAATAACATTTATAAATCTCATTTCATGGTTTCAAAAAATAAAATAATTTGCCTCTTTGGTTATGAAAAGACTCAAACTGTTGGGGACTTTTGTTTTCGTGAAATTGGGTCAACAGGGTTTCCTTTAGAAACGCAAATAGAAAAATACTATAGCGTTGGTGAGGTTGCAAAATATGTTTGCGCTGGGTTGATGCTTGCAGTGCAAATTAAGGAAAAATATACCCCTGTGAACAACGACTCGATGGAAATGAAAAATCTTCATTTAGATGGTTAGTTGAAGACGAGTCCATCCGCTTAGTTGAAGCGGATTTTCATGTTAAGGTGTGGTGGAAATTCTCACGTTACAGAATGTTATTATTTTCATGATGAAGGTGCGGTGGTATACCGCTGGAGGAGAATACACATGTAAGAGATTGTTATTATTATGGTAAAAATGTGGTGGAAAACTGGAGAATAATAAATATTCTGAGACGTTGCGGAATGTTATTATTTTCATGATAAAGGTGCGGTGGTATACCGCTGGAGGAGAATACGCACATGTAAGAGATTGTTATTTTCATGGTAAAAATGTGGTGGAAAACCGTTGGAGAATATGCTGAAACGTTGCAGAATGTTATTATTTTCATGATAAAGGTGCGGTGGTATACCGCTGGAGGAGAATATGTACATGTAAGAGATTGTTATTTTCATGGTGAAGGATGTGGTGGGAATGTTTTATGTTTGTTTGATGAGACATCAGTTCTATTAAATGAAAGACAAATATTTATATTTTATTTTTGTTTTATAAAAGAACCCTTAGATATAGCTTATTTACTAAATTCTTATAAAAAATGTATTATAGTAATTTATATCTTTAACGTTAATAAATAATAAGTTATTTAGAAGCTAAAAATTTGTAATTTTAAACGTGAATTTTAAAAAATTATAAAATATATTTTTTATAACTAATTAAAAGACATCATAACCTTATTAGGTAACATTATATCAGATAACAGAAAAATGCAGATGATTAGAGCTTCTAGACTTTTATAGAATTCGCTTCGATTCAGATAAAAATGATATTATTAATTAAAAAATTAACACCTTAATCTTTATCTATAGATCAATATAATACTAATATGAAAAAAATTCATATAAAGTAAAATTTATTTTATTATACTTTAGTGATTTCTTTCTACCTTTATCTTAAAATAAAAAAAAACTTTTCAGTCTAATTAACTCACAATTATATAATAATAATAGTAATTATTAATGATTATAGAATAGAATTACTAGTTATCATTTAAACCAATTATTATTATGACAGTTATAAAATTTTTTAAGGTATAAAGGTAATAAAAATATCAATATTATAATAATTTCATTAATTTTTTATAATTAATAAACTTAAGTATTTTAGGTAAATTTGTTTTTTTTTATAGATTTAATTGAATTTTGTAAAAACATAATAATTATAAAGTATATATAAAATCATATATATTATATAAATATAAGTTTATATAAAAAAATAAAGTTATATCTAGATATAAACTTTATATTATAATTTTTATATTTAAAATTTAAAATTTTGAAACTAGTTACAATCTAATAGTTGCATATCTATTTTTAATTAAAAAAAAATTTAAATCATATTTTATAAATTCTTAATATAAATCTGATATTTATTAAATAATTTTTAATCTTATTAAATAATTTTTTTATATTTTATTAAAGTAATATATTATGATTTTTTATAATTTTTTTTTATTTAAATCTGTTTTTTAAAAATATATTAATTAATATTTATTTAAATATATATATATTTAGATTTTAAAAAAAAATAAAAACTTTATATAATTTTACAAATTAATTTTTTTTAAAATTAATTACTTTTTTTAATATTTATAATAAAATATAAAAAAAAAAAATAATAATTTAAAATTTTTTTTTTAAAAATTATTCATTAAATGATAAATATATAATTCTTTATTAAAACATCTAATTAAGATATAGGAGGTTTGTTAGAAAAATTGGATTCTAAGCTTTTTTTATTAAAATTTTAATATTTATTGCATTTTAATTTAATATTATTAAAAATTAAAATACAATAAAAATTAAAATTTTAATAAAAAATTCTCAGAGCTTCATTTTCCTAGCAACCTTCTATATATCTAATATTATTATATTTATTAATAAATAATAAATTATATTAATTTAAATATTTAATTTTAAAAATAATTTATTATCTAATGATTGCAAAAAAAAAATATAAATGGAATAGATTGCTAAGAAAATCAGATACTAAAATTTTTTTGAATAAAAGTTTACTTTTAGTACATTTTAATTTAATATCATTAAAAATTGAAATGCAATATAAATTAAAATTTTATTAAAAAATTCTTAGAATCTGATTTTTTTAGTAATTTTTCCAATTAATATATTATATTGGATTCTTTTCATAAAATATATTATATAGAATATTTTTATATTTCTAATATTAATAGATAATAAGATATTATGATTTAAATAATTAAAATATTTTTATTATAATTTATTATTAATTCTTAAAAAATTATTAACAAATAGTATTATTTTTTTTGAAATTTGATTAGTAATCATTATAAATTTTATTATTAAACTTATAAAAATATTAATATTTTAATAAATTATTTTAAAAATTAATTTAATTTGTTAGAAATGAAAAATAACATACACTTTATTTAACAGATTTTACATAATTACCTTAGCGTTTCAGGATTATGAGTTTAAATCATAAAAATTACAAAAATTCAAAAATTAAAAAAAGTCATAAAAAGTAATTTATACCTACTTAGATAAACAATAAAGGTATTATGAATAGTTTTTATTAATATTTAGACAATTTGATTATTGTTTGCTTATATTGATAGGAATACTGACTAATTCAGGATTTTAATGGTTTTTAATTTTGGTATATTAGTTAGTCTTTTTTAACTCACCTGTTTTTACTTTTTTTTTTAGTATTTCAAGCATTTTTTTTGAAATATCACTCACTTTATGAATATTATTAACGTGAAAAAAACTTTTTAACATTTCTAGTATATCTTAGATATATATTTTCCATCACCTTTTTTCACATTTTCTTTTAAACTTAGCTAATTTGAAAATAATTCTTTCTAAAAAAAATAATAACAATATCTAATATCATTATTATAAAATATTATTTTCTATTTTTTTGAAGTACTGTAGTTGTTGCACTTACTCACTTTCCTTTTCCTTTTCCTTTTTTTCTCTTTTTTTTTCTTTGTTATTGACTTTACTGTAATATTATTTTTCACTGTATTAATCATTCTTCTTGTCTCTATATAATGAAAAAGTGAACTAGTTGAATTTTATTACAAATTAATTCGTATTTGCTCAGTATATACGAACAAAAATTTAATGCATGAACTTTTATATTGCACAACACCTTTTCTTGGTTTTCTTTAGCTATAATAGCTATAGTATTTGAGTGTCATACAAATTTAGGAAAAATTATTTGTGTATAAAATTAATCTGCTATTAATAATGGGAAAGAAAACTTTAGTACTTCATATCTAGTAGATCTGTTATTCTGTCGATCAAGATAAATATTATCAACCAATTAACAACATAATAGACATTCATTATATCACCTAGTGATAAAATCAAATGTCAATTTTTTTATATTATGTATTATTCAATGTTAATTGATTTAAAGTAATAAAAAAAGATGCGATTTTTTCAAAATCTAATTTATCATTACGCAGTTTTTTTTGCATTAATATGTCATTCATTCTTTTCTTTACATTTGGGTAAAAATTGATCTAGTGATCTTTGCTCTAGTGAAACTTAGATGAGAGCTAAAGTTTTAAGATTTTATTGATTAATATATGTATATTAAAATATATTTTACCAAGTTTTTATAAATTCTAAAGTCTTTTTAAAGTCTACCAATATTTTTTCTTCTATTATTTCATTTTCTATTATTTCTTCTTCTTCTTCTTCTTTTTCTTTTTCTTCTTTATTTTAATTATCTAATATTTCATTATCTAATAAGCTATTATTAATATTATCATCTCTTTCTAATCTTTTTATATAGGAATTTACATTAAAGACAACACACTTTTTATAGAATTCTAAACAATAATTACACTTATTATTTTATTCTGCATAATAATTGTGATGAAAAACATGTCTATTTATCATCATTTTACCTTCTTCTTTATCTAAATATTTAAATTTTTAATTACAATAATCACATATATTATAAGATAGTGGTTTAGATGTATGATATTCTGCAAGTAAGCATCTTAATTTTACTTTTTGATTTAATATTGCCAAATAATATTTATTTTTATTAATTTTCTTACTTTTTTCCAAATTTTTAAAGATTTGATAAAAGTAGTTAATTAAGAATATACTTGTTTTATATTTTAAATAATCTATAGTAGATTCTTTATAAGGATAATTTTTAA